AACGACAGAGAAAAAGAAAAGAAATAGGACCTACTCAATCCCCCGTAGCAGGAATAAGAAACGCAATTACTGTCATTTTTTTAAAAAGGTTGCCAGGTTCGTATTTAAACGTGTTTTCAGAGACGTGCATAAAAGCATAGTAAGGTGGTCTTCTATTTGTTCAACAGCTTGATATCTAAAGTATTGCCTCAAATTCTTTTTTTTAGAAACATTACACATATTTTCATATGTAGAAACCGAGACGCAGAAACAATTTTCGAGTAATCGGGTGAGGCTGCCTGACGCACATAAACACATTCCGTCCTTCTCCTTTTGTATCAGTTTTTTCACCAGAAACTCCCAGGATGATATTCTACTGTCGGTGGAAAAAAGAAGTCACAACTCCGCCCCCGTCTACCCCACAGCTGTCACGGTCTGATTCTTCTTCTGTCTTGCTTGGCTTTTGCCATTTCCATTACTTCTGCTACTTTTGCAGCCACAGACATCACCAGGGTACTTGCTTATATACTTACTACTATCACTACTTCTTCTGCTGTTATTACTATTACTTTCGATATTATTTTCTCTATCTCGAATTCGGATTCGACTTTGAATTCGGAAGGGAGGAGTGAGGTCCAATGCGCCAGGAGTGTGTGTACAGAAAATCGGTGAGACAAGCAAAGAAAATTGTATATTAGAAGCCAGAAAAGGAATCCATGTATAAGACCAGATATTGTTGTGCGTATAGTATACAAGTTTGAGTGAAGAGAAAAACTTTGTCACAAAAACAGTTATTTTGGTGCAGTGGAAAAAATCAGACAGACATACAAAAAACAACAGAAGAAAAGAACAGGAGAAGAATCTACAACGTAGAACTTGCATTTAAAATGTGATACCAGTATTACAGAAGGTAAGAGGTGGTGGTAATGATATTGATCCAACGTTTGTGCGTACTAGTTGAATTTGAGAAATTGTGTTCGCTAGCGGGGTGGGGGTAGGGTGGTTAGAATGGGGGATGTGGGGAGAGTAGTTGGACAGAGGAGAGGGATAGGTTGAGGGTAAGAGATTTGGGGGTGGGGTGGGGTGGGGTGAGGTGGAGGATGGGGATTTTGAAAGAGAGAGGATTTTGGCGGTTGGGGTGGAGGGCACGGGGTTAAATCTATGTTAATGGGACAGATGACTATTTGAGCCCCCAACCTGTAATTCCTCCATTAAGGAAGGTACCACTCACACGCCACTAAGTGCTCCGTAGTTGTGCGGAGTGTTGCCCTTTTTTCCGCCCCCACTTTGTCATCTGACCAGTTCGCAGTCTCAGATAACACCGTTCTGATTTTATCATACTTACTATTTTTGTTACAGGTACACTCAATGACGTCGAGCGTGACGTCATAACAAAAAGACAGCTTGCTGACACAGAGGAGTTCCAGTCGGATATCGGTTCGATAACAAGGTTTAGTTATGTAAGAGTTTTCGGCATTTGTAACACAATTAGGCAGTATAAGTGCCGAAAATCTGAGCTGTTACAAGACAATTAGCCTGGTTAACCTGGAAGTGTCATCTCTGACTTAGAGGTTGACTTGTAATAACCCTCCATCCTTCATGGTCTCCGGCTGCTGTTGCACCGTCTGCTATATCCAGGCCAGTCCATGTTTTTACAAGAGAGTAACAAACCCGAAAAAGAAGGAGGAGCGATAAGGACGATAGGTGTGTGATATAACAGAAGGAGCAAACCACATCAGATCTCGTCTCGTCTTGTTACTAGCCAGGTCTGTACGTGACGATATGGCGGGTGTTAAATTGGAATAGACAGGAAGGGGGTGGCTGGCATTCAGTCACGATCTTGTTTGATAGAACGCAGTCTTAGAATTACAACGTTTTATCTGAAATTTTTGGCCGTTTTGTGTTACTAAGACCATGAGGTCAGAAACCAAATAAATGTTCTAGCTGCTCTATAAAAATGGGATGATTGGTCGGAGTCGTTATCCAGAATAATATTCAAAGAAGTTCATTCGGAAAAGCTTGAAAAGTTGTGAAATTCAACATTTTGTTATGCAGAGTTTCTTAAAACTAGGTATTGAGCAGATAAAATGTTGCAATTCTAGGGTAGTGGCCGACCAGCTTGCACAAACAATTTTAAAGAGACATAATATTATGATCAACGATGCACGAACAGCTGAAGTCCGCAAAGAAACAACGCCCACGCCAACGTCCACGTCAACGCCCACGTCAACGCCCACGTCAACGCCCACGTCATTGCCCCCACTATCTTCTATACCATCGCAAACACCATCACAAACAGCATCGCAAACGCCATCGCAAACGCCATCTCTTGCTTGCCTGTCCTCTCTGACCCCAACGACATGTTCCGGACGGCGGACATCAGCGAACTGACCAGTGACTGACGATGCATACCCAAGGCTCCCAGCGACTCTGTATGTCTGTGTATGTATGTGAGTATGTGTACATGTTTGTGTTTGTGTTTGTGTGTGTCTGGGTGTGTGTGTGTGTGTGTGTG